ATACCTCGCTTTGAAATGTGGTCAAGCTTTTGGGGACATTGTGTCAGCAGCAGGCAGATGTTTGGGGACGTCTGACATGGGTCTCTTATGCGGCACGGCAGTAAGATGGAGACGAGGGGTCCGCACTGGTAAAACAAATGTGCACTTTGTGCACACCTTTTTGTCGACTCTTTGTCTTTTCACACTTTGTAATGTAGAGACACAACTAGACATCACGTAACATTTAGTTTCTAAACGTTTCGTGTAAAGTGCACACCAACATGGCCAATCCTCAGGGCACACAGTCACAATGGGATGTTTCGGAAAACTCCACACCACAACGTTTGCAGTTGACTAAACGTTTCCTTAAGTGTAGAGCAAGTGCACACATGAAGATGTTTAGATCAGCTCGACACCAGCAAGTGTTTAGTTTGTGCATATTTGAAACTACACTGTAAATGGAGGATTGATGATTATTGCAATTCTTGCGTGATACAAAAATTATTGCATTTAATAGCAATAAGTATTGCATTTTAAAGCAATACTATAATTTATTGCATTATAATGCGATGATCATCACATCTTAGTGCGATACAGTAGTTATCGCAAATATATGCAATAATCATCGCAATATATTGCAATTACTCAGATATTATTGCAATTATTTGCCATACGTGTTGCATTGATTTGCAATAATTTTTTGTCGCATCTGCACGAGTGACAAATCGTGGAAATCGCATCCGGCTATTTATCGCGCGCAGATGTGTGACTTGAACTTAATATGGGTACTGTCAAAACAATCACTATTTTTGAATGAAGCTCGCCATTCGTTGAGCTTAGAGCCACGCAAACTCTGTTGAATAAGATTAGAAACAGCATTCGTTTAACATTTTGGCTTCTTGTTCCCTTTGCTGCTCGTAAAATATCCTTCAAACAAGAAAAAAAATGGTCATTTGTCCGTAATTCTTCAGCCCAAGCAGAGAGTAAGTGTGACGTCTCAGAAAGGGGTGGAGTAAGGTAAAATCGTGACTAACTGTGCCAATGGAAAGGGGATAGGGGGGGGGGGGGGGCGAAAAAAGCGTGACGTAAATTTGTGAAGTGTGAATCCAAATCCGTCACCGTCTCCCCGCCGAGTTTGAACCAGCCCGACGCCCAGGAGGAGGCAGCAATCCTGGGTGCAACACCAGGTAAGACATGAGTGTTTTGACGAGGCGCAACCCACCTGGATGACCCCGTTTCCTTCTCTAAAATAAGAGCGACTGCACCTGTTCTGAATCAGTTCCAATTTCGGATCAACCGCTTGTAGCTCCGTTAGATTGCAAAAATGATCAAGCCAATCGTTTTCTTAATAAAAGAGGCCTGTCTTAAGTTTTTCGGACTACCTGCACGACGCTGGATGTGTCGACGGAACCACTCAGTAGGTTTGAATCAAAGACGGCCTTTAGCAGCTTCGGAGAATCTTGTAAAATTTGTGATTTCTTAAACATGAAAAATCAAAAATAATAACACATTTAATGTGCCGTGCCAATGCGAAAACTCCTTGCAGTTTACTCAAAAACGTAAACCTGGTTAGGAATTATTTTCCGAGGTGTTACATGAATTCGGCCAGTGAAGTGAACAATGTTTTGCTGTTCCGAATCTGGTTAACATGCTCCAATTCCGGATCAAAATCGACTACTCAGACTATCTACTCTGCAAATCCAACAGTGGAACAGTCCCACACTTGCAAGTGTGGAACAGTCTGTTCCACACTTGCAAGTGTGGAACACGCTTGTCCCACACCTGCAAGTGTGGAAATGTCCCACTGTTGGCGCAAATTCCCACACCTGCAAGTGTGGGACAAGCGTGTTTGACACTTGCAACTGTGGGAAAAACTGTTCCACTGTTGGATTTGCAGATCAAAATATCTCCCGAACGGTGGGAGCTACAGTTTGTTCCATAATGTAGGTTGTCAAGGAAGGTGTACGCTACTATGAACCCTAGTTTTTCTTCTCCTAGCACTAACGTCCTTAACCGTGCTAAGGAAAACTGAAAATCTGATCTGGAACAGGTGCAGTCGCTTTATCTCTTTCAGTAATAGTTTAATTGAATATTTTTACTTGTCTGACCAACACCAATGCCAAATAAAATATACATTCTATATAAGTACTTACTTTTAAAAAAATAATTAATAAGGATATGTTTTCCCTCTCTTGCTACTTTAAAGCTCTGTCTGATGTGAATGAAACAGTGATTTCCCTTGCTATACCAGCATGCTGAGCTTGACGGCTGACTGGAGTCCTTCTTAAGACTCGAGGCCTAACTTTGGCCGGTTCGGATGTGCCAATCTGCAAAAACAGCCGGACAGTTCATTATGAAAAGAGTGTGCTTCATTGCCACAGTGGCAGTGCTCGATGTAAGCCTCGCGTGCAAAGCGATTAACTCAGTGACGTTATTACGTGAGAAGTGCGCAAACAAATTACCCATTTCCACCTGACTGTGTTATTTGGAGTAGCGCGGAGTGTTTTACACCGTGTGCTTTCGAGAGTTTCCCGCGATTTCGTTCAAATTTAACTCTGGAGATGTTAGACCTACAATGTTGGGCGCAAACATTTTCCAGCACGAGCAAGTACTAATAGTATGTTTTTTTCTTGCTCTGTGTTGCATGGGAGTGGCGCTGGGACCACTGCAACCAATGAGGTGTAACACAACTTACTTTCAGGGGGTTTGTAGCTCAAATTGCATATCTTACAGGCGGCTATCTAGGGGCATACAGATTGCGGAGGGGGAAGGGACTGTCGAACTTGTTCGCTACAAGCAGCCGTACTCCGGCTGTACTCCGGCTGTACACTCTAAATAACCATGGACTTTTATTGCTACCAGCTCATGGACTTCTGTGTGCATGACTAAGCTAGAGACAATCTTGTGTGTAGTTAGTTACATTTCCTAACATTTTGTAACCAGCTTGTAACAAAATGTAACTAACTAAACACAATATTGTTTCTGGCTTGGTCATGCTCACAGAAGTCCATAAGCTGGGAACATTTTAGTCCACAGTCATTAAGAGTGTACTCCGCGTACTCTGGACGTACTCCGGCTGTACTCCGCGTACTCTAAACGTACTCCGGCTGTACTCCACTTACTCCTGGCCGGGCTGTAGTCCGCGTACTCCGTACTCCTGTGTACACTAAAAATCCTAGTCGTCTACCCTTGCCACCCCGCGTCCGACTGGGCTCAAAACTCCCTATGATCGACCCAAGCCGTTCCAGCTGCGCAGAGCTCGCATGACTGCCCATTTAGTGTGCCCTCTCTGTACCGCCCTGCTCTGGCTGTGCTGGGTGATGCCCAGCATGTTGCCTAATACAGGAGTGCGTGCAAAAACTGCGCCTGCCCTGTTCGTTCGCAGCGCGATGTGCGAAGGTCTCTGTTTTATTCCCATCGATCGCGATCGCCCTCGATGCCGTTCGGTACTGCAGCTTGCCGTCGACCCATCCTGTGACCTTCACAGTCCCTCGTTCGTGCGTGTGCTTTTTGGCGTGTGCGTGCGTGCGTGCGCGCTGGACCACGCAGGGTCAAGGACTTGCTGCCTCTTCGTTTTTTTGTCTCGGGCCGGGCCCAATGCCTACCGCTACTCGCTGGTCTCGTGGGATTGCGCTAACATCCTTAGGGGCCCCTGGTGGGTAGGCTCTCCCGTCGCACACTTGTGTACGGCGGGTCTGCCTATCAAACCCTGGGAGGAGTGTTTTAGGGTTGAAGTTCGAAGGACAGCCGATGCCGCGTCCCGGACAGGATATAAGCAGCACTAGTCCTTGCTGAAAGTAAAAGTCCCTGCCCC